TAGAATCGTGCCACTGGAAATGGGTGTTGAGTTAGCCAATTCACAGTGTCTGCTACATGGGGAAGTGGAGACTAAAGCATATTGTACCTACATTTTGTTTGAGAAGAACCTGAGGAACCTGCAAAGTAATCTGCTGGTGAGTTGGAGTCGGGGTAGATTGGTGTGTTGGAACAGGCACATTTTGTGGCACTGGAAAATAAGGTTTAGAATAATTGCAGTGGGCTGTGGGAGAGGGAGCTGGATAAGAGAACATAAAAAGATAATGTCCAGAGTCATTATTCTAACTCTAAAGTCTTCCATTATCTCATCTCAGACTGCTAATATAAACCCTTATGAATCCCACCTGTTGTGAGGATTAAATATGATAATATGAATTTTATTTGGCACAATGATTGCTTTGTAGTTTAGTTCTTAGTGTCCTCCTACCTTAAGAAAATTAGTTAACTTGCTGCATTTTAAACAAGACTTTCCTTGCCTACCTTCATATATTGTTCAGTATTCTTATCTGAAGAACGCCTCTAAATACACACACACACAGAATATGTCTAACCCTTTTATTCAGGAAGAATCTAATTTCTTTAATTACTAATATAGCTTAAAGGAACTTCTCAGTCTTACACTTGCATAGTTCTATTATTCAGCCCAGTCATTGGGCATCTATAATATGTTCTCGAATTGAATCAGCAGTTATCTTCTTGGGAGTTGTCTTTCTATATGACTATATATAACTTTCTATATGACTGCTTCTTTTTTTCAGCTACCTCTTGAGGGCTGGACCTGATGCTTATACCTTTTTTTTCTAATTATTTCACAATGCTTGGAAGAAATCTCCTAATATTTGATGCCATGTATACCAAAGGTGCCTAAAATACTTGTGATCTCATCCCTATAATTTAGGTCAAGGCACATGTCAGAAAGCAGAGTTATTCGTTTAACATCTTTTACTGACATTTCTGAATGTCTGAAGCCCCAGCTGGATAGAAGGTATACTTATACAGAAGAACCTTTGGTAAGTATTTTGAGGACCGATTAATCTGATTTTTCATTTACCTAATCAATTTCCCCTGATTTTAGAGAATTTTTAATTGATTTACCATAGTAATTTTTTCTTTACTGAACAAAAATTTTATTTTTTCCTTGCAAAAGGATTTTTATTAAAAAAAGCACACGTTATTTCCTTTTGTAGAACTATGTTGCTATATACTCCATTGGTTACTGTTTTGAAAAACACCTATGTTCTGGTTTTGGTATGATCACACCTCAGACACAAAATAAGATCCTCTAGGATTTTTATTGAATATTTAACAGTTAAATAAAGATGAAATTTGATGTTATACTTTGGAACCCTAGAATTTTTATAAAGCAGAATCTTTCCAAAGTGTGGCTGCCTTGATAATGCATATTTAATACATCAGTTCTCAGTGAGAATTTCACATTCTCTAACAATTATACTTTAGGTAGAAAGCTTGGTAGTCCTCATATAGCCTGAACACTTAGATATAATTTTGTACTATTTATTTTATTGTAAGCAAACAGTTCTCCTTTTCTTCTATTTAGTATTTCTTTTCCTATGAAAAACATTATTGTAGTTTTGGAATGCCAGTGGTTAAACATCATAAAAACATTAAATTTTTTATGTTTAGGAAGATAGAGAGGCAGAGAGACATTGTAACAAAGAGAGAGCAAGGACCTGATTTAAATGTTAAATTGTTCATGCCATAGTTATCTTAAAATTACAAAGAAGTCTGAGTTCCACACAGCAGATAGCGAAGAGTTCATGTGAATAGTGGATGCCTTTGCTTGTTGCAGAGTTACTCTTATGCTTGGAGAAATAGCCAGCCTTCTGTGTCTTAAAAATGGTGTTAGGCTTGCCAGCGTCCTTGGCAGAGAAGCCCATAAACAGTAAAGTTTTATGAGAACTTATCCAGCCATTTATACTCTGAAGGCCATGACCTGTGTGGAGTGAGACTGTCCAAAGAGGGACCCCATAAGGACAGTTAATGAACAGCGCTAAGAGGCCATGAAGATATTTCTTTTTATAACTCTCTTGTAGCTATTACAGCAGCAACTCACAGCTAAAACAACAGTAAGTATGTAGGAAAGAGGCCACCAACAGAGATTTGGAAGACTCCTAAAATGGTATCACTATGCCTGAAATGTGAAAATAGTTGAGGTTGGGAAGTCAGTGTAACATTAAGTTTGAAATCAGATTGGCTTATAACAGAATGAACTCTGCTGCTACGGTTGGCTCCAAAAATCAATCTTATGCGACAGTCAGATACAAACATACTGCATTAATTACATATATGGTACAAAAATAAAATAAAATAAAATAGCTCAATGGGGAAATGACAGCCTGGCAGAATTTATGAAATCCTGTTGTTGTACAATGCCATAAAAAATTACAATGTTTCTGGGTGGATAATGTACTTCTGTTTTGTTATCTAGATTAAAACCATGGCAGATGGTGCCTTGGGAGGATTTGACATGGAAAATTTGTTGCAATCTTTGTATGTAGAAAATAGAGCTGGATTTTTCTTTACTAAATTCTGCGAGAATTCGGGGAACAAGGTAGAAGATAATTATTTTAAATCTGACTTTACACTTTTACTTCATTTTAAAATGAGAGCTTGAAATAATTTAAGGCTCAAGTAATTATATTTGATGTTAAAATTCCCATCTCCTGGTAAGAAATTTCATGCTAAATATTTAGTAAAAATTTAAGTGTCTTAATAATAATTCTCTTTGGTTCACTAGCCTACTAAAATTACAAGGAGAAGTAAAATACAGATAGATAAGGATTGACTTGTATTATTAACAGTTGTTAACTTTCCTGTAACTTTGTTTCAATGTAATATATATTAAATTCAGTTGATTTTTATCAGTCCTTTAATTTTTATTTTTAATAATTCTAATAATTACAATTACAATGAATAGTGACAAACTTATTTCCAGGTTGTATGTTTTTTAGTTGTCACAAATAGTCTTCATTTTGCTCAGATGAAAAGTATTACACTAGCTCAGTTATTAGAGTAGTGTTTGATTCTGGTATAATGAACTTTTGCCCATAGATATCAAAATACCTTCAGATTTTGGTTTTATGCCAGAAGTAAGTGATTACTCTTTAATTATTAACTAGAACACTTATTATCTTAATGACCAATTATGTGAAAAAATGTAGATGCAGAAATAAAATGTTCTAGTGACAATGCCAATAAATATTTTGTATGTTGCCAGTTTGTGATAGAAGATTAAACCATCTTAAATTGAACCTGATTTATAGTAACACCAAGGAGCTAAACAATTATTTATATTTGAAATTAAAGCTTTGTAGAGCTTTAATGATTGGGTGGTAATAATTTATGTACTTTTTCCATCTGCAGTTGTGGAAGAACAGTGTGTACTTTTGGTTTGACCTACAAGCTTATCATCAGCTTTTCTACCAAGAAACACTTCACCCTTTTAAAGTATGCAAGCAAGCGCAAGTAAGTAGTAAATAATGCTGGTTTAGTGTGAAGCTTTGAGTACACCGAGAAATAAAAAGTTGCTTCCAGCCCCAAACAAGAGAAATCTGGGAGTGTGGGGAAAAAGTGCAGTTAAATTGTTGCCATTGGATTACTTTATTTAAACGTCAGCAGAATATTGTTTTATAATCTGATTTGTGGGTTCTCATTTTTATCTGTTTTATTTGATTTGCTCTATTTTCTCTTTGCTGCCAATTAATTGTTCTTCCAATGAAAGACATCCTATTTTTTTTCCTAATTTTTGCCTTTTTGGTTGAGTTCTGAGTCATTTAAAAGAGAATCATGAGAGAGGGCTTATAATGAATCATTGAAGTGACTGGGAATGGAGGCATTGACCAAAGCTGTGCTCTGAGCTTCCTGCAGAAATCAGCTGTTGGGTATACGTAGGCTGTTGGCCTGTCTAAAGAAGAGGAAAGAATGCTGACTGACACTGTGCGGTGTAGACCCTGCATCATTGCCTGGGCTTCTGTGCTACACGCCATGTAACACAGATACGCCAAGTTGGAGAAAAGAGTATCTTAAGACCTCTCCAAAGCAAAATAGAGGAGGAAGAACAGACGATTCTCTGAGGAGAAGGAAAGGGAATGGAATTATGACTCAAGCTCACTTGTCTTCAGTTTTTTATTCTTAGGCTGTCCTGATCTTTTATGGAGAGACATCATTAAGCCTAGAAAACTGCCAATCACTTCTGTACCTGTTGGCCACTTAAGTGCTTCTTATAACCTGAAATAACCCCATTCCAGGGGACCTTTCCCTGAACAATGCTGAACAGATTAGCTCTGTCATACTGTTTATTATCTTCCTGTTATCTTATTTGGGACATCAGAGAGTACTGCTGGCTATTCGTTGTAACTTCCACCACCCTGACTCCAGTATTAATAACTATGTTTTGTAAATCAGCCGACAGATCTTTGTACTTTTTACCATGAAAATAAGGGCTTCAGCTCCTACATAGCCCAGATCTGACTCCGTAAAATGATAAAATTATATCTCTAACTTGCCAATACCATTTTCTGAGACCACACAATTGGCTCTTCTGCTTGTTAATCCTTTACCTATAAAAGTACTTACTTATCTACTCTCTACTTATCCTCCTTCCCTAACCTCTTGCCCCTGTCTGCTAAAGTACCATCTGTTTTTATTATGTTTTCACTGCTACAAAGCTTACTCCTTCAAAATCTTCAGCAGCTCAGTTAAGCAGATTTTCTTGTTATGATTGTAATCACCATATTTCCATGCACTTGTAAAAGTGGAAATTCTGTTTGAGCATGGTAAATAGTAAGTCTTTGTAATGGCATTCAACCAGCTATAAATGATTATGAAGCAGGATACAGTCCCATTTTGGTTATTCTGAGATGGAGTATCCTGTTTTGGGATTAGCGAGGCCCATAAGCTGTTTTCTGTTCCCTACGTTCTCTTTTGGTGAGTAAAGGAGAGTAGGGGGAGGAGAGCCATGGAGACATTTGCTTTTAGGTTAATACGGGGAAATAAAAGGAGCAAGTAGTGTGATTTTTTTGGACTTGCTTGCTTTTTGTTTCTATGGTTACTTTATTTTTTGGTTAGCAAAGCAATTGTCTAAATTGGTTCAGGTTTTAATTATTCGAGATTTCTGTGCCTCCACAGTTGAGAATTGTTTCAAATACCATAATCCTGTGGATTTGTTTCACAGTATGAAACACCATTTCTTTATTCTTTAACATATTTTTATTGAGTTATAGTCATTTTACAATGTTGTGTCAATTTCCAGTGTAGAGCACAATTTTTCAGTTATACATGAACATGCATATATTCATTGTCTCATTTTTTTCGCTATGAGCTACCACAAAATCTTGTATGTATTTCCCTGTGCTATACAGTATAATCTTGTTTAGCTATTCTGCATATGCCTGTCAGTATCTACAAATTTTGAACTCTCAGTGTGTCCCTTCCCACCCCCTGCCCCCTTGGCAACCAGAAGTTTGTAGTCTATGTCTATGAGTATGTTTCTGTTTTGTATTTATGTTCTTCTTCTTTTTTTTTTTTTTTAGATTCCACATATGAGCAATCTCATATGGTATTTTTCTTTCTCTTTCTGGCTTACTTCACTTAGAATGACATTCCCCAGGAACATCCATGTTATGTTGTCGGTTTTATGGCTGAATAGTATTCCATTGCATAAATATACCACAGCTTCTTTATCCAGTCATCTGTTGATGGACATTTAGGCTGTTTCCATGTCTTGGCTGTTATAAATAGTGCTGCTGTGAACATTGGGATGCAGGTGTCTTTTTGAAGTAGGGTTCCTTCTGGATATATGCCCAGGAGTGGGATTACTGGGTCATGTGGTAATAAGTCTATTCCTAGTCTTTTGAGGAATCTCCATCCTGTTTTCCACAGTGGCTGCACCAAACTACATTCCCACCAGCAGTGTAGGAGGGTTCCCTTTTCTCCGCAGCCTCTCCAGCATTTGTCATTCGTGTACTTTTGAATGATGGCCATTCTGACTGGTGTGAGGTGATACCTCATTGTAGTTTTGATTTGCATTTCTCTGATAATTAGTGATATTGAGCATTTTTTCATGTGCCTATTGATCATTTGTATTTCTTCCTTGGAGAATTGCTTGTTTAGGTCTTCTGCCCATTTTTGGATTGGATTGTTTGTTTTTTCCCACCATCTCTTTATAATAGAAATGCTGTATGACTTCATTCAAGGGTACATTTGCAATACAGATCTTTGGATTGATCATGTCAATGGCAGAATATCATCGGCTGGCACTGTGTTACAGTTGCTATGAACTTGATTTTTATATTGTTTTTATACATCTGACAAGCTGTATGGTAGGAGACCAAGAGTTGATTACAAAACACTTATATGCTCTTCTGTATGCTGGTGGGCAAATTATGTATCTTAAAGTTTTATTTCCTCAAGAAGTACTACAGAAATATCTGTAGGCAGACCAGGTGGGAGGTCAGTGACAGTGATTTGCCATGACTAACTCTGGTCCAAGAGTTTGAACTATAGTCCCGGGCACATCCTGAAGATTTTGTTTCACAGCTTTAAGACAGACTAATGTGGTTAGAAACCTAATGAAATGGTCTCGGCAAGGAGAAAGGGAATCACCACTATAGTGCAGAGGTACCGTCTTTGATTCTAGCAACAAGTTGCCAGGGTCCCATCCATCATTGCCAAGATTTGGAGCCCAGATTGCTGCCACAGGGAGTCCTGCTGCTTTTTTTTTTTTAACATTACCTACTTGCTCTAGTGACAGAGCACTACAGTAGAATGAAGTACATGTGGGTACCACTGTCTTTTGTAACTTCTTCCATCTTTGTGGAAATCTTTCAAATAAACTGTATCCCAACAGAAACCATGCATTTAGAATTTACCACTCTCTATAGCATATACATTGAGATTAAAAAAAAATTAGTGAACCTGTATGATGCATAAGTATTATACATGTTTACACGTATGTAGACACACATACACACAAACATGTTCAAAATTTTGAAAAAATTAAATGAGATGGAGGAAGAGAAAAATTAACAGTCTCTGTCCTGTGTACCACCAGTT